AGTTTCGAACCGCAGACCTTAAGGTTCGCAGCCCGATTCGTAACCACTACGCTACCAGAGCTCCTTATATAATGAGATAGATGGGCATAATAAATGAATTACTGTTATGGTGAGAATCAAAGAAATTAATGTGTTTTGTAAAGTCTAACATGCTATTTGTTTGAAATTTAGCAAGAAGATTATATTGAGAAAGTTTTCTCTTTGTTACAACAACAACCAGTTTGATCAGATAGGGATTGTGTGTTTGGATGTTGGTAACAGAATGCCCAAATGAACAGCAATTTGGTCAAACAGGGGTTTATCTTTCTCACACAATAGAAGGTTCAGATAGTATTAGCTCAGTGGTCACTGTAGTTACCAGTCAGCTGTCTACTGTTTTGTTGACCTAACCTTCAGCAGTGAAGCGGGTAGCTGCCGCTTCACTCTTATATCAGATTTCCAGGTCACAACAAGGAGAAGAACATAGATACATTACTGTGTGTGCAGCAGATGAATGGGCCCCCGATTTTAAATAGCTTTTCCCAAAACCCCACTCAACCATTTCTACATAGTCTAATTTCCAAGACAGTGTCATTGTCGCAGAGTCACTTAAATGATTAGGCCAGGCTCCGTGCTATAACCAAATCAAGAACCTGAGCGATAGTAAGGAAGACACAACAATGAATGGACATTGGTGAAGCAAATATCAGACTGACGTGGTAACTTATCCATGTTGTTGTAAGCTGCCCCAACTCATGACAACTACGTGTAAAACAGAATAAAATGATTCCAGGTCTTACACCATCCCCATGATCCATAGGGTTTTCATGAGCTGATTATTTGAAGTCAATCACCAGCCCTTTCTCCCTAGTGTGAAATCTCCATGAACCCTGTTCAGCATCATAGCAGCACATTGTAAAGTTGATTTGAACCATGAGGTCAGAGGTTCAAGCTCACCAGCTGCTCCTTGGAAACCCTACATAGCGTAGCTATGGGTTAGAACCAACTCGACAACAACAGTACACAAGTTGTGGCTGCAAATGACGTGCATTGTCTGGGCTTCCAACCTGAGTCTCCTACATGGATGCCAAAAATTATGCCACTGAAACTACCTTTAAAAAGATAGTTTTCTTTGAGGACGTGCTCAGAGACAGTAACCTCTCCGCTACTACCCTCCTTGCTATGTTTGTGGAAATGCTGTTTTCCTGTGTTCACATGATGACTTTTTAAAAAGCCCTCCCATTCTTGCAAGTTGGAATCCTTTATTCCTTTCTTCAGTCATTGCTCTGTTTATTATGTGTTCTCTGGAGTCAGAACCCAACAACTATGGGAGATCAAAGAACTTCCACTTCTTTGTGTTAGAGCAGCAATTTGTGACAACTGTCAGAGAATCTTCTTAAATAGCTCTACTAAGCATGTGGGTTAATTGCAGGGTTGTTCCTATATCTATAGCTCAGGTTGAATCAGCATTACCATCCCACATCTTGTTTCCAATCAGTTTCTCTATACATGAATTGATGGCAGTTACAGACAAGTTGCATTTTATATTGCTAGTTAGATTTATGATGATTGCATTCATTATACTACTTGAGCACAATGCACACAAATGAATGCTTGCCAATAATTCCTAATCTAGGGTTTTTCTGACCCTGCACAGACATAAAAGCAAGCAAACCCTTCACTGAAGTCAGCCCAGGGTTAATATGTCTCAATTTTTCAAATCATCCTTGCTAATCATCTCTGACTCTCATCCCTCTGTTTGCCAATAATATCTATTTTTGGACTGTACATGTCATTCATCAGAGAAGTTAAAAAGTATAAGGATCTCAACGCTAGCTTTTTTCAAGATGGAGAAGTGGAGAAACAGATTGTTGTTTTTCTTTGATGTTCCCTACTCCTGTTTTGTTTTCCAGGCATCTTACTGATTCATCCATTCTCATTTGGCTTCCCATGCCATCACTAATGCTGTTGTTGTTGGCTGCTATGGAGTTAATTCAGGCCTACTGCAATCCCATGTGACAGAGTCGAATGGCTCCATAGGATTTCCTTGACTATAATCTTTACAGGAGCAGATCTCTAGGTCTTTCTCCCTCTGGGAGCCACTGGATGGATTCGAACCTCCAACTTTATGACCAGCAGCCAAACATTTAACCATTGCACCACCAGGGCTCCTTTTTTCACTGAATACTAGTTACCATAGCTGAGGCTTTTAGCTAATTCCTTTCCCCATACATTCATCCCACACATACATACAGGCTCGTCATCAGTATTGACTCCTCTCCAGCCAGTTCCCACCTCTAACCCAACCCAAATAATCAACCTATGGTCATCATCCTGCCTGGTATCTGCCCAAAATGTTATCACGAACTCCTTGGCTGGAACGTTAGGCACAGAACCTGGAAGAGGTGGCAGTCCCACGAGTCTGACAGTTTGTTCTCCAGGCTCTTCTATGTGATATTCTTTCCCTGATACGTACTACATTCTTATGATGTAGTTCTTGCATCTAATACCTATAAAAACATTCAAATTAATGCACTTTTTTTCTCACTTTCCTTTAGCGTCGAGAAGTGGCAAAAACTGTTTTCTGCTTGGTTGTAATTTTTGCTCTTTGCTGGTTCCCTCTTCATTTAAGCCGCATTTTGAAGAAAACCGTGTATGATGAGATGGACAAGAACCGATGTGATCTACTTAGGTATGATCCTGTGTCTCCATTAGGAAATTGGAGCCTCCCTAATTTTCACATTTGTGATAGTTTTACAAGACTATTGAATCTACACTGATTAGCCCTGAAAATAAAAGTTGCACACTTGATCATTTTTCTTTAGCTCACGTAGCCTGTAACTGATCTCAGAATTGGTACAAGTCCTAGCTCTAATCTCGCCATTCCATTCCTGAGAGTGAACATAAGGTTTTGAGCTAATCAAGAGGCTGAACACGTGGCAGAATTTAAACTGCCATGTAAACAAGCATCCTTAAAAAAAAAAAAAGAAAAGAAAGAAAAGAAAATCTGCTACCTATAAGAAATAGCTTGTTGGCAAGAAATATTCTTCTAGAGATAAATGATAATTAGCAAATTTAAAAGCATTATGTTCTAAGTATTGTACTCTATTTTCTTTTGTTCTAGTTTCTTGCTGCTCATGGATTATATTAGTATCAACTTGGCAACCATGAATTCATGTATAAACCCAATAGCTCTATATTTTGTGAGCAAGAAATTCAAAAATTGTTTTCAGGTAAGAATGCTATGTAACCATTCTTTTTAAGGAAAACCAAGTAAATAAATTAATTAGTGAACCCCCAAATCAAACACACTGCCATCAAGTTGAGTCTGACTCTAGTGACCCTGTATAGGGTTTCTCTGATTGTAAATCTTTATGGAAGCAGATAGCCTCATCTTTCTTCCATGGTGGGTCTGACCTGCCTACCTTGCAATTAGTAGTCCAACAGCTAACCCACAGTGCCACTATGGCTCCATAAGTAGTTAACAGGCACTGTTAATTCCAATGGTAAGCATTATTTTCATCGGCCATAGTGCTTTTCCAGAATGAAAGTGACGATCATGTTTTGTTACTCAGGGAATGATCGAATTGTTAGCATAACAGAAAAGCAGTACCAATTCAGACAGACTATTCAGAGGTTAAAAAACAAAGGTCTAAACATTTTCTTAATCACACGCCAATTTAGCAGCATCCTTCAAAAGGAAATTCCTGGCTACATAAAGTACGTACAACCTATTCACACCGTACATTGTCTTAGACTTTAACCAAGGTCTCAACACAACATAAACTCTGTCATTAAGAAAGCTCTTGTTGTTTAAGTATCTTCAAGTCAGTTCTGACTCATAGCAACCCTGTATAGGGTTTCCAAGGAGCAGCTGGTGGGTTTGAAATGCTGACCTTGTGGTTGGCAGTTCAGTGCTTATCCTACAGAGCTACAGTGAGCTTTAGAGAACAGAAATTTATTTTCTCACAGTTTAGGAGGTAGAATTCTAAATTGTGTTTGCATGTATTTTGTTTTGTTTTGTTTTTGGTCTACTTAAGCTTCAGTTGTAGTTGAGTCTGTTCCGACTCACAATGTCCTTGTATAGGGTTTCCAAGAAGCATCTTGTGGGTTTGAACTGCTGACCTTATGGTTTGCAGCCCAGTGCTGACCCTACAGTGCCACACTAGGAATCCATTTAAACTTCTGGTAACTGAGAATCCTTAATTTCTAGATCATCTTCATGTGGCATCTTCCTCCCCATTTGTGTTTGCTTGTCTCTGTGTCTCTGCTATGAGTTGGGACCGACTCCATGACATACCACCACCACCACCAGGCTCTACATCCAGGTCTACCTCATATCCTGTTTAGGTCTCACCTCATTTTTTCAAATGGGAGAGATAGCAAATAAGACTGTCATAAGGAAAGAAGAAGATGGCTTCACACTAAAGAAATATCAGGCCTCTCAGACCCCCTCCCGCTCTTCTGTCTCTCTGGCCAACAATGCCTTCTTCTTTTACTTCATGGCAGTGGTGATGTTTGTGTGCCATCGAGTCGGTTCCAATCCATAGCAACCCTGTATAGGGTTTCTGAGGAGAAGCAGGTGAGCTTGAACTGCCAACATTGCAGTTCAAACTGACTTTGCATTCCAGAGCATTAACCCAAAGTGCTACACCAGAATTCCCAACCATCATATTAGAGTGAGTTAGTTGAATGTTTGATCAAAGACAGCAAGATAATTTTTTAAGTTGATAATTTTGTATGGACCGCAAATGATGTTATGAACTTTGAAAGAAAACTAGTTCTCCACCCCTGCTCTAGATGAATGTCGAGGCCACATGCGAATGAACATTTATCCTTCATACACATGTCAGAAAAGCACCACCGTCCCTTCCTTAGTGGGGACTCAAGGCCCAGTATTCTCCTAGAAATGGGTTGGTAAGTTCATGTCATTAAGAATCTGTTGCTTTTCCTAGTCTTGCCTCTGCTGCTGCTGTTACCAGTCCAAAAGTCTGATGACTTCAGTCCCGATGAATGGAACAAGCATCCAGTGGAAGAACCATGAACAGAACAACCACAACACAGAGAGGAGCAGCCATAAGGACAGTATAAACTAAGCCTCTTAAGAAACATTCATCAGTATTCCTTCAATTCCTGTTGGAGAAAAAAGCACACTGCATCTGTGTCTCCAGTAATCTCTTCTTCAGTCCTTCTGCCTTAACTGAATCCCAGACCCTGGACGGTAAAAAATGCTTCCAACACATCAGAGGTTGGACTGGTTATATCCCAAAATTCTTATTTCTGTCTTCTAATTTACATATGCGTCTTGTTTCTTCTCATTTATGTATTCTGCACATTATATTCAGCACTAAAAATGGTGGAAGTTGGGGGGCAATGGACACTGTTAAATGAAACCAGAAAGACATTTACTACCTTTGCATGAGCATAGAATTTCAGGTACATGACCAGCTTTCATGGCAGTTCTTTCAAAGGTTCAATGAGCACTGATCACCATGAAACTTTATAAATTATAACAATTTTTATTTTTAAATATGATTTTTATTTGTTTATTGTAGACCAAACACAGTATAGGTGTAAGCCACCTTTATTTTAAATGGCATTCAATGCCAGTATTTTCTTAACTTCATCCCTTTGCCATCGAGTTGATTCTGACTCACAGAGAACCTACAAAGGGTTTCCAAGACTGTAATCTTCAAGGGAACAGACTGTAAGTCTTTGTCTAATGGAAGCACTTGTAGATTTGAACCCCTCATGTGGTTAGCAGTCTGTGTTTATCCAACATGCCACCAGAGCTCTATGAAAATGATCATTTGACCTTATTTAGACATAGTTTGCAAAAAACAAAAATCCGAAAAATGGTATTTAGGTGAGCAATTAGGTTAATATGTCTCAAATCACTGTTTTACTTTTAAACATGAATTCTAAAAGCTGCAAGCATTTAAAAGTACAGTCTGATAACCACATATACTAGTTTAATAGCTGCTGCTTGGAAGATTCTTAATAACCTATTTTTTATTTGGGGGCAGGCTTGTAATGGCCTTTTGATACAAGGCATCTTGGACAAATTTTTATGTTAATTATCAAAAATAATGATTGATTCAAACATTTCTGGTTTTCCCAAGCCCAATTTTTTTCATGCATGTAAGTTTTATACATAGTTTTTTAATATATGTAGATATAAAACATACATATATGTGTTTTATATATATAACTTATATATATGTTGTTGTTGTTGTTAAGTGCCTTCGAGTTGGTTTCAACCCATAGTGACCTTATATAGTGTTTACAAGGAGCAGCTGGTGAGCCTGAACCACCAACTCTGCAGTTCAAACCGACTTTGCAGTTCGGTGCATTAGCCTATAGCGCCATGCCAGGACTCCATGTATGTATCTATATATAACATGTATATAAAACATATATATGTGTGTATGTGTTTATAAAACATATACATATATACATACTCAATATCATGTACCAGAATTTAGCAGCACATGGTATTTAACCATGCCTGAGACTTTCAGTACAATCATAGAAATCTAAAGCACACATTAAAGAAAAGGATTGAAGATTTTTAGAAGATATGGAAATTTTACTGCTTTTTTTTTTTTTTAATAATAACTCTCTTTGTACATTTTGTTGTTGCTAAATGCCGTCAAGTCGGTTCCAACTCATAGAGACCCTGTATAGGGTTTCTGAGGAGTGCCTAGTAGGTTTAAACCGCCAACCTTGCAACTGCCAACCTTGCAGTTTAAGCCAAACTTATGATCCAGTACTTTATCCTACAGTGCCACACCAGGACTCCTGTATATATATATACATGTACATATATATTATGCATATGACTTCATAGTCTCTTAACACTCTTAAAATGTTAACTGGCAGTTAGACTTTTTCAGTCATCCTCTTTTCCATGTAGGGAACATAATTTCAAAGTGGTCAACCAAGTTTATCCTGCTCCCCCCCCCGACCCCCGAAGAAAAAAGAAATAAAACAATTATCATTCAGTTGATTCTGACTCATAGCAACCACCTAAGATAGAGTATAACTGCCCTACAGAGTTGCCAAGGTTGTAAGATTTACAAATTGCTACATCTTTCTCCCACCCTTTATCATGTCAGGAATATATAATTACCCCCAAATGCACCTTGAGCTTCGGAGTCTTCACTTCTCTAATTTTCCAGTGTGAAACTAAATCCTCCAACACTTCACATATTCAGAAGGCCCACAGTGACTTGCTGGTCCTTTTCCCAAATGTTTACAGAGTGTGAGTCCAGCAGAAAACCTTTTATTGTATATAGATATAAATATATATAAATTTGTAAAGTTCTCTTGGTCAGTTTTTCTGTGATTTCCTCTATGGAATTTTATTTGTGTGTGTAATATATGCATGTGTGTGGTGCTATGTATGAACTTATTGTAACATAATAATACTATCCCGTAGTTGTGCCAAAAGACATATTTAGAGTAGTATCTTGGTGATCTTTCACCAGAACAACTGCCCTCAGTTTTAATTCACCGGAAGCATCTGCATTTATAAATCTTGGGGCCATGTTGACTTTACAAACAGAACACAGCGTATTGCCTTTACATATGGAACACAGGGTTTTATTTGCTTGGTTGGTGGGTTGCTTTGATAAAGCAGTGTTTGGTGTTGTGCTGGAGCAGAAGTCACGACATTTTAAAGTATTATATGTTCTCATCTTCAACTCAACATGGAGGTGAGGCTGAGAAATTGCTTCATGTTTCTGTCAGATTTCACTGGACAGATTGCTGATGATAAATTAGCTAAACTAATCTGCTGGGTGGTGTTTCAGCAAAGTCATATGTAATATGTTATCAGATGCTGGCTGCTTGAACTGCAGCACTAGGAAATGTTGCCCTTTAATGTGTTAGCAGTCAAGTTCTATTACTTCACAAATGCATCCCAGACAGTGATATCAGCCATGGGTTCACAGCATTGTGTTTAGACAGTTGTCTTCTTTTTTAAATGCTTTGTTTCTTGCATATAAAAATTGCAGAAAGCAATATATTTCTGAATAATTACCACAGGCTTCCATGTGTATGTTGTTTATGGACTGGCAAGTGACCATGGTTTAATAATAGGATCATTTCTTTCCAACAAATAAACTTGTAGAAAAGACCCAGAAGTCAAGACAGTGTCTTGGCTATGACCCATATATGTAAAATAAAAGGTTACAGAAGCCTAGTAAGTGTGTCTTCATTCTTCGTTCTTCAGAGAAAATGTTTTTTACAAACCTCTCCCTAGTATAGCCATACAAGTAATTTTACTTTCAAATAGATACTTCCTAACTAAACTTCATTGTCGGTTAGACCTACTTTGTTTGTTGTACTGAACACTTAGATTTCTCATCCATTTCTTCATTGAAATTTCAAGTGAATTTTATTAAGCACCTATTATAACCTTTGTGCCTTATTCTTTGCCATTTCCGATGCTGTCCGATGGATCTTGGCTGAAAACAGAGAATACCAGAAAGATATTTACTTGTT